GGCGGCATAGAAATGTTCTAATAATAATAATAATAATAATAATAATAATAATAATAATAATAATAATATTTTTGCTTATAGGAGAAACAAACTAGAACATCAAGAAAGATTCCAAGCAACATTTTTGCCTGCTGTGCTACTTCTATTGTTTTCCGGGAGTTTTTGCATTTTTTAACATTTCAAAAAAGTTTTATTCCCCCTGCCCCCACCCTCGGAGTGTAGTGGTATACTACCATTCTAACAATTCCTTCTGCTGCACATGCGTATGAGGTAAGAAAGATGGGGAACCAGGCTATGCTGAGAGGAGATAATCTGCCCTTGTTTGAGTTCTGGCAGGTTGTACTGATGCAAGGCTAACACTGCTGCTGCACAGTGATTGACACCTTCTGACATGACCTATCTGGAAAAGACCATTGGTCTTTCAGGCACTTTACCACCAAAGGAAAACTAACTGTAAAGCAGTTAGCTATATACCTGCTACTCAAGCAGTGCTCCAAACAAGTACTGTGCTTATAAAGGCTACAACTGGAGTATATCGCAGAGAAAACTAGGGGTTGAGATGCGTGAGGACAAGAAGCCTGCCGTTACAACACACAAACACAAATCCAGGACCTCAAGATTCTGACTGGACAACTGAGATGCCATCTTCCACGCACCACATTTGCAGTTACTGAGCCTTCCGGAGTTCCACTCTCAAATGTATCGCACAAATGCTTCTCATACTTTAAATACAATTTTAATGCTTTTCATCACTGGTTTTACTGCACTGTATCTGCTTTTACTATGTACATTTCCTGGAGTTTTATTATGTGCGTCAACTAAAATGCAAGTCATAAGCTGAATACATTCTCACAGTTTAGCTGCACGCCCATTACCAGATACTGGTTTGCTGTCATAAATTCTGCAGGCAATGCTATCACTACACCAAGATGCACAGAACCGGCATTAATATGCACACATGGCGCATGCACACACATACAAAGAGGGTTTTTTTAAGAGGAAATAAATGACTCCTCTCTGCAGTGCAGGCTTGTGTTTAAAGGCCTGGCTTGTTCAGTGCAGGAAGGTTCTGTATATTTACAAATTTACATTGTCAAAATATATGATTGCTGTGATAGCCCTGGTATAACTCACATCCTCAACGGGAGGAAATGTACTAACTGCTTCTTTCAGGAGCCTGAGATGGTTTATCAACCCCACAATTACTCAATTCCTCTAGAAACTAAGCATCTGCAAGAACATGGCTGCATTTTGAAGCTAACGTATTTGGGACAGGGGTTCTAATCCAGCCTTCTCCCAAACATGCTTGTTTTCTTTCTATAGATATCAGCCTCGTCCAGGATAAAAGTGAGTCAAATTTTGGAGAATCCTGACTTATTGTTCATACTGCCATATTGCTTCTACTTGACTTTTTACACCAGTGGGAGCCCCAAGGCATGATGCAAAACTTTTCCTTGCTAGGCAAGAGCCAAGAGGAAGTGGAGAGGCAGCATACACCAACATGCTGCCCGTGACGCCATGAAGCCAGGTTCCTCTGCAATTCTGGCTTATCGTTACATGTGAACACTGCCACTGTGGGGAAGCAATGCAAACAAGCAGCTTGCATGCATTAGGCCTGCACTAATTACTGATTTAGCGCATCCTTGAATGCCAAGACACTGATGAGGAAGGCACCTGCACATGCTCTCCTATGGTGCTCCTACATTTTTTCAAGTTGTGGTGTGTGAGCAACAGGCCACTGCAATTCAGTGGCAAGCAAATTTACTCAGCTTTCTGACTATGTGCTTTAAGGAAGTGGCAGGCAACGGGTATGCCCTATAGGAACTATATGATCTCAGTCAAGCCAGCTGCAATGGCATAACAGGCTCTGCCCAGTGACTTGATTTCACAACCCCTAACATGATTGAGACATAGATCATAGGAAAGCTGCAATGTCAAACCGTCTATGAAATTTCACTGGCTGCCAGAGCTGAAAACATCTGAGAACAAACATACAAACACAACAGCTTCTAAATGCTAAACTGTTGGCCCCTCCCAAGAGGACCTGTGTAAACATTCTGTGACATAAGAGTCACAGTAGCCTCATCAGTTAACTTCTGCAATCAAAGAGAGGGAAATATCCTCAGGCGTTGTATCAGATTGCTTCTTCCTTGGATATGCCCCAACTGCAGTTTGAATTTCTTCAGCTCTTATCCAAGAATATCATGTTTTTGCAATCCATTTGCAAGACCATAAGTTCACCTTCTCACTTGCAGTTCAAACGCAAAAAGCCTAGAATGCCACCGGGGCAACTCCATAAATAACAGTCATTTTTCCGAAGCACCTGTGGATATTTTGCGTTGATTCTTGCTACACTAAAGAATTGTTAGGAATCATTAAGAAAAGGCCTGGAAATAAAATGACTGTCATGGCAATGACTTTATATACATCTGTGGTCCATTCGCACACAGTACTTGCTTTCTGGTTTCAAAATTGGACTCATAGCTGAAAATAGTGCAGAAATTGGTTGATTTGTTTAGAGTCAAGGGCACATAACTTGTATTTTTGGCTTACAACTCTCATCAGAAGTTGCCACCCCTGGCTTAGGTGAGTAACAGCAGATGTGATTAAATTGTTCCTGGGCCTGGCCTACCATCAGACCTCTTCCCCATGGGCGATAGGTACTCTGTCAATTTCTACCTAAGACAGTACATACAGGTAAGAACCTGCCATCCAGCTTTCCAAGTTATATATGGGCAACCTGTACCCCTCAAAACTCTCTTACGCAGCCCACTGTGGGCACCCACTGTGCTTTTTCCACATGTCAGAACTTCATGTCTCTCTTCATGCAGCCTCTTCCCCAGCACAATCATTGTTCTGCTCAGCAAGATGTCAAGAGTGCGATTCAACTGAGAGAGATTAATTCTCAAGCAAAGCATGCAAACTGATCTCAGAGGGCGGAGAGGGGAGTTTTAAACCCATCTATCCCTAAGATTTGAGGAGGGTAGTCAGAGAAAGGAAAGCACGCATATGAGAGAAAGCAAGTTTTTGTGTGCCCTGATACACAGGCCAGAGCATGCATGGGTACACACTAAGCGGAGAGAGAATTTTATACAGCCTGTTCAAAATCCTGTAATATTCCACCTGCAATCTGAATGGTACAGTCCAGGGTCAGTTTAACCTCTTAACTGGAATTTGTGTGAACTATGCCAAACCTAAGGTTCTTTTCACAGCTCTTATGCATTCAGGCTGCCCAAAAGAAAACCTCATTTCTGTAACTAGTGTATATCATGCAGAGGAAACAAATCTGCACCCTCTTTAATTTTGCACAGTTCATTTTCCCTCTCTCATGAAGAGCACAATGAGCTGTATTAGGCAATGCAGCTCCAACTGCTGGCTACAAGAATGCTACAGCCTGTCCCCAGGTCTGCCAAACCTCTGGGGATTTCACCAAGCCCTGCCAACATCTTAAATGTCCACATTTGTGGCCACATGGCTTAGAAATGCTTTCCATAGTCACATGGAGAGATGGACCATCAGGATGCTGAAGGCTGTTCCCAATGCCAAATTCAGTGGTTTTTCTGAGCTCACACTATCGTGGTTCTCACACAGCTGGTTAATCCAACATAAACAGTCCTTCAGTAAGTCCCCGCTTTATCTAAATACAACATGAATAGACACATGACTGTTTTAGATATGATATCAAAGCACACGAGTAGGGAGAATTATTAGCTCTGAACACAAAGGCCCCTTTCTAGGGTATTGACAATGGGTTTCCAGCCACAGCATCATTAAGAATTCAGACGCTAGCATTAAAACGTCTAGAAACTTCTGCGGCTGGTTTGATATTTAGATGATCTCACACAGCTAAGTGGCTCTGGAAGAAGATGAAACAAAAAGGGAAAGCAATCTTAATTTATACTCCAACCATTGTCCCCCACTGAGTGTAAATTGATAATCCCTTATAGATTTTTAAAAGCAACCCTCTGTGCTTCCTCCCTCCTCCACCCCCCACCCCACTTCAGAAACATCCTAAAAGAGTTCTATTGTCACAGGATGTTGAGAGACTGGACCTCAAAGGGATACAAGTCAGGGGCTTGGTTCATGAACTCTCAAAACACGTCTGTCGGAGTCTTCTTTTCCTCACTGTACTTCTGAAAAGATGGGAGACCCCAACCCAACTGCAGTAAGAATGAGCAACAAACAGTTGATACACTTTCAGGAATGTTCCTGCTCCCATTTCTCTCCCCCAAAAAGAAGAAAGATGAAGGTGCTGCAGCTGATCCTGCATGCACCAAACTACCTCAGCTAGGCAGCTGGTGCAAAATATGGCCGCCAGACTAATAATCAGGACCAGAAGCTCTGAATATATGGTGCCAATTCTGGCCTGCCTGTACTGGCTGCCTGCATGGTTCCAAGCCCAGCTGAGGTGCTGCTTTTAACCTACCAAGTTTTAGGTGGTTTGGGACCACAATTCCAGTCAGAGCAACTCTCCCAACCAAAATCCACTCAGGCGCTAGACTCAACATCTGGGTACTTCCTCCAAGTGCTCCCTCCAAGAAAGGCTCAGTTGGTGGGCACGAAGAAGAGCGCTTTCTCAGTGGCAGTCTCCCAATTAGGGAATGAACTGCCAGTTGAGGCCTGCCTAGCACCAGGTTAAATTTGCCCTCTGTCCCAAGACATTTAATGCTCCTTAATGGTATACCTGGGTGTGTTCATGTCAGCAGTTTAATAGGTCTAGTTGTATTAATTTTAACTGTTCTCATTTTCTGAATTCTGAGTTTTACATTTTGTAGTGAAATGTAATGAGTTTTTATAGCAGTTTTTACTGTTATTTATTGTATTCTATGAATTGTTGCAAACTGCTCAGCGATGTGCTGGTATATAAATGAAATAAGCAACAGCATGAAGAGACAAGGCATCTCTGACCCACAGCATCCCTCTTGCTCCCCTAAACCACATATCAGCATTCTATCTCTGGCACACTTCAAATACAGATAAGCTACATCACAAATGTTCACCTGCAATCTGGACAGAGCCATCTTCTCCCAGAAGAATGTTTCCAGCTTTCACATCTCTGGGGTTGGTGGGAAAAAAGAAAAAGAAAAAGAATTAAAATAGTTAAGTACTAGTTGTAGATTCCCTCTTCCTGTCCTAATCACCTTTAATCTCAGACACATTCCTTTCAAAAGTTATTACTGGTGCTATTTATTCACAAAATGTTTTGACTGCATAAAAACTTCTGCTGGGTTTGGCAACCTCCAACAATTATGAAAAGTGAAAGCAGTATGTGTACTTTATGCATTCTTCTGGTTGAGCAAATATAGTTCGAATGACATAAAAAAAAGAAGGTTCCAGAAAATTTAGAATTGGGAAATTTTCTACAAAAAAATCTTATGCAAAACATGCTGATTTGCCTATGATCATTTGTATCCACAAATTTTCAATGTGCATTGGAAAATCACTAGAGAATGATCTAATTTAGCATACTTATGAAATATAACTAAAATAACCAACACTTAAAATGCACCCCCTTTCTTTGTCCAAAAACATTTTTTGTCCCAAACCACTTTCCCCAAAAAGTTGACGAATGCTGGGCTAAATGGCCATCGGTGTGCCGATGACAGAATAGTTTTCACTTCCATCTACCAATCCAAAGGAAATTTCAGGATCTTTCAAGTGTCTAGAGTTTCTATTGGCAAGGATTAGTGCAAATAAGCTGGTATTTGACCTGGATAAGACTGGGATACTGTGAGTGGATCAGCCTGCTGATCTGGATGGAGGTGTGTGATCAAAGGCAAAGCTCATGGTTCGGGGTTCTGTTGGGCTGCATGCTAGCTATGAAGTTACAAGCAGATTCAGTTGCCTTTTATCAGCTTTGGCTCAATTGCCAAGCTGTGACCCTATCTGAAAAATGCAGGCTTGTTCACAAACATTCATGCCCTGGTTGCATCCAGATTAGACTATTGTAATGTGCTCCACTTGAGGCTGCCTTTAAAGATGGCTCAGAAATTTCAAGGGGGACAGAATGTAGCTTATCACTTGCTTGTGGGGACTAAAGCTTGCCACTGTGTTTCTGGGCCCAATTTAAAATCCTAGTGACTGCCTTTAAAGCCCTCAACAGTTTGGGACCAAATTATTAGAAGGACCACCTAAATTTACATGAATTCTCCAGAGCCTAAGTTGGCTACAGAGACCCTGCTTACAAACCCATCATTAAGCCCTACCAGGCTAGCAGGGACAATAAAGGTGGAAGCCCCTCCATATGATAGTCTCTCCCACAGACTGTGTGTTTGGTTCCCTCTCTGCCTGTTTAAAGTCATGGCAGTTCCAGTCTGCTCCAGTCTTCTTACTGGTTTATCCAGAACTATTATTGCTGCTGTTTCATGTTAGTCAGTCAACCCTTTGCCCTCAAAAGACAACATAAACATATCTAAATAAAATGAAGATGATTTATTCTGAGAAATTCTGCCTATCTAGACAAGTAACATCTGGTCTAGATGTTAGTGTCTCTCCAAACCCTAAATATTGCCATGCTTTGATGACCACGGTCTGATGATGCTTTTTTTTTTGGGGGGGGGGGGCGGATCTGGAAACAAAGCAGACTGTAAATGCCTCAGCTTCGACCATGAATTTATATAAATACAAGTATGACCAAAGGAAGACCAAAACAGCTTTCAAAACTTACAAGACTAGCTGCTTACACATTAAATAAAGCAAGCCACACTCAAACAGGCTTTTTAAAATAATCAGTTCGCCTGGTATTACACAGAAGGAAACCTCATTGTATCCCTTGTCTGCTGGCCATCTATTCACTTCCACCAAGTGCCAAAGAGTAGCAAAAGCTTTTGTCCACAGCATAATGGTTGTATTTGTTTCCATTTTGTTTCGTAACAAAAACAGGGGAGGGTGGACTTGATTTCTCTCCAGAACAAAAGGGAATTTCCACCGTACATTTCAGAACTCTTAGGGGAGCTGATGGAACAGCCGGAAAGAACCACCATGATGTCCTTGTCCACCACAAAACCTCAGAAGCTGAAGATGTCAGGCTTTAAATCTTGGAATTTATTCCTCAATTGCAGCAGGCTAGTCTCCCCTATCATCCTAAGGGCAAAGTGCTAGTCTGGTACAATGGTAAATGCAGATACGAAAAGACTTAATTGAAAATTCAGTTAAGAGCATCCCTGTGGGAACTTCCTTTCTCCCCCGCCACGTTCTGTGCAGTGTACCTCTTTTCTGATAGTACCACCGTTTTGAGCACTACATACAGTGGATGGCATCAGGACGGGAGCCAGGCTTCACTCAATGCTGCTGTGGGAAAAGGGGAAAGACTTAACACCGTCATGCCATGTCTTCATGCTTCTTCTAGGATATAGCTCTGGTCTCAGGATGAACCCAGGCTGGATTCCACTACCAATCTGCACAGCCGGAAGGGATGAAATCACATCACATCCTGTGATTTGTCTCTGCTAATGCATGTTAAACCTTCCAACCAAAAGCCCCATTTCTGAAGTGCTTCAGAGACATTCCACTCACATTATGGGAGGGTGAGGGACTAAACTGGGGCTTGAAGTTACCTCTGTGTCTCAACTTTTGTAAAGCAGAAAGGAGAGGTCTTCTCCCAGCTGACCAAAACCTCCCTCAAAATGATACGGTGCCATCATGCAGAGAGGCAATGGCATCTGTATCCACCATGAAGCGCAGCACCTCCACTAAATCACCCCCTGCAAAACCTGTAAAGTAACTTTTACTCCCATCTACAAATGGGGAAGCAAATCTGGAAAAGCAGGCATTTCAGTTCAGCCTTACTATGTCTATTCCTACTGGAAGTAGGAAACTTGTCCTGGTCAGCTAACTCAGCTGTGAGACAGACAAGGGGACGATGCCCCTGCCATTCCACCAAGCCTTCCCACAAATGCTCTCAGTTCCATTAACCATTAAAACCTTCTGGATTGCATGTCAGGGTTAACACGTCAGGAGCAAGAGGCACTGCCCTCCAGTGGTTTGCCTCCCACCTGAGAGGCCAATTCTAGAAGTGGCCTGTGGAACATCTGCTTCACTTCAGGGCATTTGGCAGGTAGCTCTATTTTGCCTCCATTAAGGTTTAATATCTTCATGGGATCGGCCGCCTACATTTTTTTGTTTAATCAAATGAAGTACTAAATGTTCTGAACAGATGCCCAGAGGCAGTAATGGGATGGATAGAGGCCAGTAAACTGGAGCTGAACTCAGACAGGTTATATGTACTGCAGGTGGGTGAAAACTGCTACGGAGAGGATCTTCATCCTCTATCAGGTCAAGCTTCACCCTCCCCTCCCTATCACTAAGCAGCAAGTTCACAGTTAAGAAGTCATATGGAATCAGCATCCTGGTGGGATCCCAAGCGCCCACATTTCAGAAGAGTTCCAGGAATTCCTCAGCTATGATCTTACCATGGTATTCAGACTCAGTATGATGTGTTAATTGAGGAGAGGCCTCTGGAAATGTCTTGGGAAGCTTCAGCTGGTTCATGACACAGTCCTGAACTCATTGCTTTAAGCACAGTGTGCTTGCAAATAACTTAAATGGCACCTAAGTTCACTTCCCATTGCAATTTGCGGTGCTTCTTTTGACTTTCTGAGCAGATGAGGTCTTGGGTAGGCGAAGGACCTCTATGAACCATCGCAGTCACTGAAAGTTATTGGAGGCCAGTTTCCAATTCTTCTGGAAGGGGGTCTTCTGGAAGGAGTGCCTTTTCTCCCGTTGTGCTCTCGCTACAGAAATCCCTCTGAAGCAAAGCCCAACGGCCTTCCTTCCTTCCTGCTTTCCTTTCAGATTCAAGGCAATAAAGTGAAACTTTAGGTACAGGAAATCTGCTACATATGAACTTTCAAGTTGTGAACTTTCAAAGATGCGAGTGTGCTTTTGTGTACTTTACCGCAGTAATTGGGATAGGTGAGTCCAGCAAAGCATAACACAGGTCATTCCAACCTAACGGTAACACCATATGAGGAAGAACCCATTAGACGAAAAACACGGGTGCACTTCCCACTGCCACATACCCAGAAGTATAACTTCTGGAAGTCCTCCAGTGTCATTATAAACCTATTATAGCACAGGTTGTATTGTGTTAGTTGGGTACCTAACCCATTCAGCTAATTGTGTTAGTTGGGTACCTAGGCTAACTTTGTTGGACTTATGAACAAACTGGACTTCCAAATGTGCTCTCAGAACAGAACTCGTTCATATGTAGGGGACTTCCTCTATTATGCTTACTTTTATTGGACAGCCTAGTTTTCATCAGGTGACAATTGTTTGGACTTGACACAGTGGCTGCAGGAATAGTTTTCAATGGCTGTCCTTTATTTAAAGTTTTACACTTCTATTGTGACTTGGGTCGTCTTGATGTACCATTATTGGTACATTCAACTTTGCTGAACATGATTTATTGCAGAGAAATGCCATATAATACTTTAATGAATAAATAAAACTAAAGTCTGGCCGGTGGTTTAATCTGAGCTGCACAACATGGAGCGAAGAGTTATAAATTGCCCTGCCTTTCCTCCATGCCAAGAGCTCCTGTACATACCTCCCCCTTGGTAAACACATTGTTTTACAACTGTACAGTTTGCCTAAATTCCTTCTTTCAATAGCAGCCAACCAGAAGCTCTGGTTGGCTACTTCACAATACCAGACACAACCAAATCAAAACCAAACTCTTCCTTTAGCCCAGGGGAGGCTACAGGTAGGGCCTGGACACTCCCCACCCAAACCTCCATGAGCTTAGCAGCACCAGGAGCACCTGGTGGATCTTCCACCAAACACACTCAGGGGGGCAGGCTTCACTGGAAGCGTGCTCTCCATGCATGACTGTTGGAGCTAACACTGAGGATCCCTCTCTCCACCTTCTCCCCATGCTCCTGGACAGTAAACCCTGCAGACAGAGTGCGAACAGTCACTCTATACAGACCAGATGGAGAACATCCGAGGGCCAGACCAGGCCCGTGGTCCGGAGGCTCTCTATCCCTGAATTAGTCCACACACTCTTCCACTTAACCAGACTCAAAACCAGCTCTTCATATGCTCCCTCCTCACCAG